TTTGCAAAAAAACGATATGCATTTCTCAAAAGTTCCCAGGTAAGGGACCAGCAGTTAGTATAATGGTTGTGCTGCTGGACTCCCAGGTAGTCGACCGTGATTCGAGTCCTGGACACAGTGGCTTAAACTCACACTGGGCTTGTGTGCGTGCGTGCCCAAGATCCCGAGAGGAGAATGGAGGAGAAGAGATTGTGGCATGGCCACCCCCGACCCCCCGGGGGGGGTGATTTCTCACTTTCTGTCTCTCTGTTTCTGCGCACCCCCACCCTATAGCAAAAACCTCCCCCCCCCCCCAAAAAAAAAAAGTTCCCAGGTAATGCTATGCTGGCTAAGGGACACAGTTAAATAAGGCTGGAGGCTAAACATTAAAATGTGCCACATAGGCATGTGCTTAGAGACTGGAGGAAAATAGAAGAAAATGTAAGAATACTATGCTAAATCTCAGGAAAGAAACCAAGGCCAGAGATGTAGGTTGAAAAGCTATTGGCATATTCTAAATGTATTTATATTTTGTCTCTTTGAAAAATCATTTAGAGACACAGAGGGGAGACATTCTCTAGAGAATTTAACCCTTGGAAAACGTGGTGCACTATTTTTTAAGAGAGATTTGTTTGTTTTGTTTTATTTCGTTTGTTTGTTTTTGTTATAGGGTGCAAATGCTTGCCGGAAAGGTAGAGAGACAGAAAAAAAAGAAATGGTCACACTGCAATGCCTTCTCCTCCCAGGATCTTGGGCACACATGCACATGTGCCTGGTGTGAGTTTAGGCCACCGAGTCTGGGACTGGAACCCAGCGACAAAAGCATTATGCCATCTGCTGGTCCCAAACTTGTTGTATTTTTAAGGAACCGGTATTTTTTCCTTCTCACAAGAAAAGTAAGACACTCAGGCAATCCTCTCTGAATGCTGACAGGCTTGGAACCTGGCTTTCAGTTTAAACACTGCAGCTGTGTTGACTTTAGGCTATAATCTGTTTTCCTCTTTGTTCTTAATTCTCCTTTCCCTCCCTTTTCATTACTCTTCACTAATCCTACTGTCTTAGTTTCTCCTCTCCCCTCTGTTAAGTGTCTCTAAATGATTTTTCAAAGAGACAAAATATAAAAACATCTAATGTATTCCAATAGCTCTCCATCCCACGTGTCCAGCCTTGGTTCCTTCCCTAAGCTTCTGCATCGTATTTTTTTACATGTTCTTATATTTTTCCCCAGTCTTTAAATACATGACCCCATGTTTTTATGTCTAGCCTCCAATTTTAGTTAAATGTGTCACTGAGCCAGCACAACATTGCTGGGGGAGTTTTCAGGAATGCATATGCTTAGGCTCCACTCCAGAGAAATGATTCAGAGTTTCTAGTGGTGAGGCCCAGCAATGTGTTTCAACAAGGCTTTCAGATGATCTTGATGCATGCTAATGTCTGAGAACCACTGCTCCTGAAAGTATCATGTTTTCTTTTCCTCGAATCTATGGGTCTCCAGTCCACTCTCCGTATTTGCTCTGTTATCCTGGAAAAAATATTTATACGTATTTTAGAATTAGTATAAATTCTTTAAAAAGTGTTTCCAGTTGGTTTAGCTAATTATTATCCTGCCAGCCAGTAAAGCATGTATGAGTTCCGACTTCGTGATCACTTGATAGTCCATGCTTGAGCCACTCTTGGCCTACGTGAGGCCTGGTCCAATCAGCGGCTGCCTCTACTTAAAAAACAGAGTAGGCGTGCTTTCCTGAGCAGTGCTGCATCAGGGTTGAAGCAGATAAACCAGAAAGAACCCTGCTCCCATCCAGTAAGTTTATCTCTAATTAAATCTGTACAACATAGGCTCAGTAGAGGACTAGTTGGAATTTTTCATTGGATAACCTGATTTCAGACTCCTTTTAGGATAGCAAAGAGGCATTGTTGACTGCTTGGGATCTCCAGAAACAGTCCAGGCAAGACAGTTTACCTGTTCTGGTATTTGCAGATGGTTCAACTTGGGGCTGAGGTGAAAGATTCTATGATGACCGAAGTGAGGAAGAGCCAAAATCCTAAATTACACAAATGCCATCCAATTTATATCCTTAAAGGAAATAGATTGCTACATGCTTGCATTAGTGTGTGAAAAATACTATGCCTCCCCACAACCACCTTTTTTTTTTTTAAGACAAACAGGACTTTATTATTCCCATTACGAAGGACAGGTCTTGGCAGGACAGGGAGTGCGTTCTGACAGTGGGAAAGAGGCTCTATTTGCCAGTGATGAGTGGGTTCCAAAGGACCACGATGACCGAGTCCCCATGCAGAAACATCTTGGAGATGTAGCCGTCCTTGTTGACGGGCTTGGACTTCTTCTTGCCTTTGCCACTCTTGGGATCCTCAGTCCACATCTCCTTCATGTTCTCCAGCGCCATGTTGCAGTGCCTGTCAAAGGCCTTCACCCGGCCCAGGAGTTTCTTGTTGTTGCAGCAGTTGATGAGTACTTGGGTGTTGTTCTTGACTGATGGCGTGAGCACAGAGAGTGGACCCGTGTTAAATTCCTCCTCCTCCCGCTTCTGCAGCTCCTCTGGAGTCATCTCACTCTTAGGCTTGTTGAGGAGGCTCATGGTGGCAACGGCACTCTGAAGTCACTCCCGTCTCCTCCGCGTTGCTTCAGCCTCTAAGGAGAGCTAGAGAGAGGCCCCCACAACCACCTTTTTAAAAACGAAGCAGCGCCTTAAAAGTTTAAATGTAGGTACACCTACAAAACTTGGCCTGAAGCATTCAAGTTTTTTGTTTGTTTGTTTGTTTGTTAGGGGCAACAAGAAGAGAGAAGGAATGAGTTTCAGCAGAAATCTCTTACAACACTGAGACTAAAAATAGATGGGTGGAAGGCTCTTAGAGTTCTGCACTGTGGTGAAATAAAGAGACAAGTATTTTTACTAAGTAGATGTGAATTTCTAGAATTTTTTTTCCAGTTTGATGTTAGAAGTGTAAGTTACATAGCTAATAAGTAGGTCATAGGTAATCTTGTTCTATAGTCAATTGAAAAGAGACAAACATTTCTTAGGCATCAACGCTGCTCTCACCTCCTACTTGAAGAGTCAAGGTTAACATGTCAGAAGCACTACCAGAAATACAAGATAATAGATGGTTAAGTGCTAAATTATGTTTTCCTTGACACGCTTTTCTTTGCACATTCTTGGAAATCTTATTTCTTATGACTTGACTTAGTAACTATGTAGGTCAGTGTTTCTCAGTCCTTAGTGATGCAGGGATGAACTGGTGCAACAATGTTTTACATTCCCATTGAAATGAAAAAAAAAGAATTATTTTATCTAAATATGTACCAGTCTAAAAATAGACACAAACTGCTTAGCCTTACAATTCTTAAGCAACTATAAGAAACTTACAAGTAAAATACTGAAAAACCACACAATCACGAGAATTTGATTAATTTACTGGCATGGATGATTCATTAAAACAAAAATCAGTACTCAAACCCTTAACATGGTTCTGACTATTAAGGTGCAAGCTCCTCTCTGTTCAAGGGGCCTCTCGCTGTGAGTCATCTGATGACTCAGCTCTCACCACTTTATTCAAAACTATCCATTATACACCACCTGTCAGATTTCTTTTTCTTTTACTTTTTGGCGTGTGATCTGTACAAGAGCACCATGTCTTCACCATCCTTGTGATATTTTCTTACTGTTTGTCAATAGAGTAGTACTCTGTTAAAGGTTCATAGAGTTCATCAAGCTGATTGAAGTACAAATAAAAAGGTGAGAAATGCAATTTGGGGTATTTGATAGAAGGAGTCATCCAGATGATTCCAAATGTTCTTCTGATATTTTGGGAAGGTTGTCATAGATACGAAGACATGAACTCCTCACCGAAATCTTCCCTGAAACCTGAGGGCATCTGTAGTAACACAGCTGTGTTTCCCAGACCCCCCTGAATGGAAGCATGTGGTGGCCCAGCTAACAGCAGACAGCCTGCAGCTCTTGGTTCCTTTACGTTTTGCTCACCTGCAAGGAGCTTCTTAGCCCCAGAACTCATCCTTCCCCAGGTGCTCACATTCAATGACTGGTAGAAGCAGCCGTGTTAAAACCTGGCTATTTCTCCTGCACAGGGCCAGTCTGATGGGCCATGTATGTTCTAGACTCTCTGTGGCCATGGCTAAGACTTCAGCAGCCTGAATTTCAGTTCTACTTTTCCCTCCTAATTCTGCTTTTCCCCTATGTCCCATTAGTTATGGTCCCTAATACCCTCTGTCTCAGTGTCTCCTTCCAAAGAACCTAGTCAACAAGAGCTCCCAATAATCTTTCTGAGGACACCCCACTTCCTACGCAGAAGAGCAAGAATGCCTTTTCTGTAGCCCTGGTTCTTCTTGCAAGCTTCTAACTTCAAAGTTCAGTTTGCAGTTGTATATTCCTGTCAGTGCTTTAAATCAAACAGTTCTCAATCCGATACATTGTGTTTTTTCCCTCAAGTGTTATAATTTATTTAATGGTGCTACCATTATGTTCCCTCAGATCAAAAGTTGGGAAGAAATTTCTATTCCTTACACACCTAGCTCTGTACATCCAGTCTATTATGTGTGCTTCTTAACGTGGGAAAGACTACTCTTTTCTGCAGAAATCCACTTCTCCCTATACAAGAGCACCTACCGAAATTACAGTGAAGAGTCTCCTTGTCCTTCCCTTCAATTCCAGACTTTAAAGGTGAAACAATGGTTTTTTTCCTCATAATGGTCACATACAAAAATTCTAACCCACAGTCATCTATTTATTTTGGAGTAAAATATATTGACACACATATTAAATAAAAGTAATGTTTCAAGGGGGTGACAGTGAATGCTAGAGGCTTCATTATCCTTCTTCAGGTAGCCATTGCTGCAGTGCTATCATTAAAACAAAACATTTACTTTCTCTCAGTTAAGATAAAATACATTGCTTTCTTTTCTGCTTTGTATTCCATATTGAACTAAAGAGTGAAGAAAACCATGTCTTAATAAATGCAAAAGTGACACTTTTATAACATAGAGACTAAAACATGTGTGTATATTATGTGCTTTAGAAGTCTGTGAAAACACACATATTTTTAAAGCCAGTTAACTTCATTGAAAGATACTGCTGTTTAAAACTGAACGTTGTGTTGTCAGTTGAAAATGAGACTCTGAGATATTTGTGAGTGAGACGTTGCCAGGGAAGCAGTAGAACATTTCCTGTCCGTGGGTGCAATCTTGAGGATTTGTGACAGCCATGACGAATCCAAAAACCATCACCACTGCACCAATGGGAAGCATGACACAGGACATAATCTTATCTGAGTGTGTCCTTGGTTCTTCAGACAGTTTTAGATAACAGGCTGATGGAATGATAAAAATGAGGGGAGCAGCACAGAGTACTCCCTGTGTGTTGAAAACAAGAAACAAGATGTTACCAGATGAAAGCATTCTTCGGACAGTCTCAAAAAATATTTACAAAATGCATTTTTCACTGCAAATGTTAACAGTTGGATATCAGTTGAATCGAACAAAGATAATTCCAAAAATGAAGTAGGTCTTCCCTTTTTCAGGGGTGTATTTACAAAATAAAAAAATAAATAAACTAGTATAACAATATATCAGATTTTTAAAAATCAGAAAATAATGTAGAAAATAATGCCTATGGTAAGACTGACATCTGTCACTCTCAAAATTTTCCACATTTTCCGTTTTATATCCTTACATGCTTTATTGATAAAGATTGTGTATCTTATAGTGTCCTTCAGAGCTGAGTAGTCTGTCATTTGTGTACAGGTGGCCACTTTACAGAAAGCTGTACAGGGCATTCTGTCATTCCTTTTACCTGAGCTTCTGAGGAAGTTGTGCATATCTGAGAAAGGACAGCTATAGCCCTAAGGGCACTTCACATGAAATTGCATTTCTAGATCTTCTTTCAATTAAAACCAAACACATTAATTACCCTAGAAAATTGACAGCAGGGTTAAATGATTATAACTCATTCACCCCCTCTTACATTAGACATGGTTAAATCCAACCTGAGGGAAAATGTCAGACTGAAAATAATGGGCACAGTGTTGTTTTCTGGTATTAAAATTCCAAGAGTTACTGACTTCAAAGCGAAAGAAACTGTCCTTTTGAGTAAGCATAATTCATACTAGAAACTTTGCAAATGATATAAATGTTAAAATTCAATACACTGTAGGTATCACGTATCCCAAATGTGTTAAACATTATATTAAACTAAATCTAACATATTATTAATAAAAGAAACAAAATATTACAGCAAATGTTATTCCATTAAAACATAAAATGTACATTTTAGAAAGCATACAATACATAGTAAATGCGATATCAGTTTATAACTAAATGCAAATTTCTAGAAAATACACATTTTTAATGTCTTAAAATCTTATGCAAATTTGTAAATATATGTGGAAGTAGAAAAATAGTATAATGAATCTATCACCTGTAGTTCAAAAGTTCTTTGATATTATTTCAGTAGATTTTCCCCAAGGAAAAATCACAGCAACCTGAAATTGAAGCTGGATGATGTAAAGTAACAGACGATATCTGAAAACTAGCTTAAAATGAGTACTATTTCCACATTACTGTTTAATGAGATTACTGTGCATTTTATACTAAGTCCTATCTTCATACCAGAAATATAAACAAGTATGATTTTGATGACATAACTTTTCACGTTTTAAATTTTTAAACATTTTTAAATTTTCTTTTTTAAAGAGAGATTTTTGCCATATGGCACATATGCTAAGCGGAGTAACAGAGAGATGGAAAGTAAAAAAACACACCCCCAGGGGAGATGTCCAGGTCACAATCCCTTCTCTTTCATTCTTCTCTCAGGATTTTGGGCACACACACACATATGCCTGGTGTGAGTTTCAAGCTGCCAAGTCCAGGACTCAAACCACAGTTGACTATGTGGGAGTCCAACGGTGTAACCATTATGCCATATACTGGTCCCAACTTCTTCATTTTTTACAAAAAAAAGGAAAAGTCCAGAAAAATGGCGATTAAAGGTGATGCATAAAACTACTCAGGAAGTGTCTAAAAATCTGGGGAAGAATAGTGGGAACTATAGTGTCTAAAAATTATTCCACATGAAAAGATATAAGAATGACGGGGCTAGCAGGTGACAAGGAGGTTAAGGTGCTGGATTCCACATGGCTGACTCTGCAGTTCACGTCTTGCACCTGGAGGCTTAAAAGTCATGCCAGGCACATGTGTGTGTATGCCCAAAATTTCAAGAGAATGAAGGCGAAGGGACTGTGGTGTGATCTTTCCCCTAAGGGGTGATTTCTCACTTTTCCTCTCTCTCTATCTCTGCCTTTCTTTGACAAATGCACATATCCTATGGCAAAAATCTTAAAAAAGAGAGATATAAGAATGACAAAAAAAGGCACTAAAATGGCATTCTAGTTTAAAGTATATGGACAACATGCTTCTGCCATTTGTGGCACCTGCATACTTACAAAACTATATTTATAATACCTACAATAGGGCTGACATGTAGTATGGTGGTTTGGGGCACTAGACTTCCACATGACCAACAGCAGTTTGAATCCCAGACCTGGTAGCTTGCTTTCTTACTTTCCCTCACTCTCTCTCTGTCTCTCAAATTAAAAAATAATAATAATAAAATAATGATGATAATAAATAAATAAAATACTTACAATAAATAAAAGCTTATTCGTTGGGTTGTTCCCCTAGCCTAATGATTCTCATATGGTCAACTGTACTTTGAATCCCCAGTGGTTTGAAAAACACACCAAGTGCATTTTCTTCTGTGGCCCAAGTCCAAGAAGATAGAGAAATGAAGGCAAAGGAATTGTGGCATGACCACACCCCTTTGGAGGGAGTGCTTTCTCTTTCTCTTTGTCCCCCTCTCTCTCTGGTAAGTACACATGCCTTCAGGCAATTAAACAAAAAAGGGATTAGTTGTCATATTGCTGGAATTAAATGGGTTATGGATTCTTTAGGCTTTATTTTGACACTTGAAATTAACAATCCTTTATTAAAGTTATAATTACTGGAAAATGCTGTAGATATCAATACTTAGTATAACATTATTCTCTCATTTATTTGAAATAAGAATTTCTGAAGACAATAAGAAAGGAGTTGAAGTACTAATACTTGTGTATTATATGTGTAGTCTCTTCTCTTGGTAGAAACAAACATGTGAAGCTAATTATCTGAAACTGCAGACTGTGAAGTTGCTATCAGGATGAAAACTGCCACCACCTGCTACTAAGAAGCAGTCATCAGTCAGCCTTTTGGGACTCTTCCAAACTTAACTTGCAAAACAATGGGTGTTCTGTTTATTATAATTCTTAAGAGTTGAGAAGGTGGTAATTAGAGGAAAAACTATATAATTGATGATCTTACTGGAAGAAATCCAGTTAAGTATCTTGTCTAGATACCAGTTACTTTCTTGGTATTTGAAAGCTCACTATTGTCAAAGGTTGTCACGAGGACTCAAGATCGTCCATAGAGTAATAGTGAAGTTCTGTCTTAATCTATTCCATAATAACAAGTCTACTGTATTGGAGATATTTAATGTAGACTTGCTTGAGAATATCCCACTTGCTTTGTTAAAATTTTTTTAAATTACTCGACAGGATATGAAACCATAACTGTTTATTAAAGCAATAGTAAAATGTAATCTCATTTATAAAGGCAAAACAGCATGATCCAATGATTATAACACTATTGGTGCTAGGGTACATTGCAGTAAGGGAAGAATAGAATGTGTTGAAGATTTTACTGACAATACAGGTTGAAAAAGTGTCTGAATTCTCCTACCTGAATAGAAATGTCTCAAATGATGCAAGGAAGCTACACACTAAATAAAAGAAGGCATATGCATCTTTTAAATTTCTATTCTGTAGTTAATTCACTCATGTAGTCAATTCACTCATGAAACTTATTCTTCTACCTTCAAAAAAAAAAACTCTCTGTAGCTCAGGAGGTCTTTTGGCAGTTGGACTATGACCGCTTGCCCTCGTTGCTGTATTTTTATACCTGGGCTCTGTTAATGTTCAGCTTTCTTCCTTACACTGTGAGCTGCACACAGTGTCTGTTCGGCTGGTTACTCTGACCATGGGCACCATCTGCTTCATTTTTTCCTCTTTGTACAAAGGCAGGTAGAGACCCGTAGGGCCCAATTACTGCAGATGTCTTGTTTCTCTAATAGCAACATCAATGTCAAGAAGTTGGATTTCTATTATGAAAAATGGTATTTGTTTTATTTGCTTTTAAAATGAATTCTTTAAAATTGAGGGTGCATTTGCTTTGGAAACATATTTCATTGTTGTTTACTGCCATGAAAACAACAAACAAAAGGGAAACAAAGTTCTAAACGGAGGAAGAGAAGGTATTTTTTAAAACTGAGTAACTAATGTCAACCAAAATAATTTTCCTCCTATTATTCAGTTATAACAAATAACAGTAGTTCTCTAACTTTAGGGATCCAATTCTAAGATACATCTCATCTGCGATAATCATTGTTCCACTGAGCGATGATTCAGAGGGCCACAGAAAAGAATCCTTAAAAGTACTGTAATTACTATTTAAAATAAAAGCTATTAACTGAATCCCTAAAGTGTTACAACTATTAAATAAGATGAAAACTATTAACCAAAAACCATTAAGATAACAAAATTGAAGTTGATTTTATTCAATCTCTTTGTATTTCTTTTAGCTTATTGTGAAAGTCTACCCAGGTCTAGCCAGAGGTGGGGTGGTAAAGGCTGCAGATCCCACACGGCCAACTACGTGTTTCAAGGCTTGGACTTGATGGCTTGAAAACCAAATCAAGTGTATGTGCATGTGTGTCCAAATCCCCAAGGAGAAGTAGAGAAGGGATTGTGGCATGGCCATCCCCCATGGCAGGGTGTATGGTGGGTGTGTGCTTTCTCACTCGCAGTCTCTTTTTGTTTTAGTCTCTGGCAAGCATACATGCCCTCTAGCAATAATAATAATAATAACGTGTATCCATACAAATGGACTTCAAAAGTTCATAGAAAAATGGATTAAAGTACAAGTACAGATAAACTCACTGCATAGTTCTTTAACTTAAACACAGATAGAAAAATGAGCATACAAATTTTTCATAAATAAAACACATTTAGAAAATCTCAGACTAGTATAATGATTAAAACTGTGAGCTATGGGGTTCGAATACCTGTGTTCAAATCTTCTACTCACGACTACTATGACCTCAGACTATTTAATCACTCCTTTCTCCATTTCTCCATCTGTAATTTGCAGATTAGCAAATCTAATGTGTTCAAAACACTTGGCACAAAGTCCTCAATCCATGTGTGCTCACATTGTCATTATGAAGTGGATCACAGCCTGCTTTAGTGACTGCTAGTGCTCTGCATGATCCAGTGTGCATTAGTGACAGAAACGATGCTTGCTTTGGCTCTATTACACAGTGAGAGGATGCGCAAGAGTTGATTAAAGACCTGAATGTGTTACTGTGTATAGAGTATACTAAAAAACTGTTACTGATGGGGAAAACCTACCTTCGGGTAGTCTGACAGAGAATAGAGAGTCTAGATTTCATTGCTTCTTACAAACTGCCTTGAAACTAGTGTGATCAACTTCAGTTATCAGGTCATAACAGACAACGTAGCACTCTTCTTTAATGTTATTAAATGTATTCTATATAAGGAGGTTTGTGAAAACCTGAGAATCTAGAATCACGTTTTAAATTTTTAAAATAGTCCTCCACAGCCAGTTCAGCCTTTGACTTCGTAATAGACATTCACAAAGTATTCTTCTCTGATTACAATACTGGAAATTTGTCTTAACCACAAAAGGTGTTCAATGTAAGTATAAAAGGAAATATTTAATTTGATTATGTGCAAACAATTTCCCTGTGCAAGTGTCATGGAGTTGAGCAATTAACATTATAGAAAGTAATGGTTACATTTATAAAAAATTCTATCATTTCTGGAAAATGAGCTCTATGTGTGTTTGATTAACTTAAAAGGAACAAAAATTTGTGAGGTTATCAAGGTGTGGTGTATGTTCGGGCAGCTGATAAACATTTTCTTTCATAACAAATTCTGCAATATTAATAAACAAACTTGTGCATACTTCATCAAACAAAAATAAAAACAGGGCTGCGAATCATCATGTCGATCATCTCTGGAGCATAGTTGAATGATGAAAACTACTGTCAACAACTATGATTTTTTGGTAACACTTAATTTCCTGGTACTACACTAAAGAATGTCTCTTACATCTAGGGATATTTATAGAAATAGGTCTTAATCTGTGTTCCCAAGGGGCAATCATCGATGTAATAATTTGAGAACTGTGTTCTCAGCACTGGTTGAATACTGCAAAGGATGGAAAAGGTAGTTAAATATCTTTGTCTTCAAAGAGCTTACAACTCATTGAGTAAGGCAAGCTAATGGGCAGTTTAAACAGTCCATGACGTGAGATAACACATGAGTCAATTTAGAGCATTAATGTAGTAATGATCCATTTACACAAATCGAGTTCAGTACAAGAAATGATTTTGACTGAGCCTTTCTTTGGCCTTTGAAAAGCTGGAAAGCAGGGGAAAGTTACCTTTGACATTTGCTCAGCTCTCCTGTAAGCTTTTCCCTTCATTGTTGATAGAAGTGATCATTTCCCAGTCCCCCCAAGATTTTGAAAAACTGCCCATCCCCTCATTTTCATTTACTCTGCTACAAAAAAAGATAGTGTGTCCCATAGTGTGTTCCTGCCTGAATCTTCTACTGCCTTTGTCTGGAACTTCAAAGCAAAATGGCATCTGGGGGGAAGAGTGACAGTGGGCCCTGACAGGGATACCATTTCCTCTCTCTCTACTTAATGAAGCCTTGGGTTTGCACCTACAAGTCTGCCCTCCCTGTGGTGCATGACCAGAGGATGCTAAATAGTATGTGATCCTGACTAGAAATGCTGTTAGAATTGTAGAAGGGGAAGAACAAGGAAGGAGCTTGTAGTGGTAGATCCACTTCCATTCCTGTCTCACCAAATGGTACTGTATTATCCCAGTTATGTAAAGTAAAACCAATGAGTCTTTCTTTTCTTCCCTTTTTTTTTTTTTTGCCAGAGGACACATGTGTTTGCCAAACAGAGAGAGAGAGAGAGAGAGAGAGAGAGAGAGAGGAGGGAGAAGAAAGAACCCCTGAATGATTTTAAGAGGTGATAAAAAAATATATATAATATATAGAGAAGTGAAGTGTGGTCATGCCATGATCTTTTATCCTCTATTTTTCCATCCTGCTGCAATTTGGGAAATGTGCACACACACACACACCCCAGGCCATGAGACTGGCCACAAACTAGTCATTCTTAAGGTGGCCCAATATCTTCCTGTCTTCCAATTGAGCCTGCCACCAAACCATATCAGTATTTTCTCAGAACTGTCTTTTGGGAGCCCATCTACCTCCCTCTGCTGTATCCTCTGTATAATAGTTGAGTTTCCTGCTTTGTTTGTGATTTCCTTCTATTATTTTACTTCTATTGTGTAGCAAATAGAAATTATTCAATAATTACGTGGTCAATGAATAAATGGGTTAGAAGGTACATTAGGCCTTGAAATCTTTGTAAGATTGAATAAAAATGAAAGGAAAATAGTCATAGGAATGGAAAAACAGATAAGACAATAGATAAAAGAAAGAATTGATCTGGCTTATTCACAGGCCTGCATAAACTTGATCAGAACTTTCAGAAAATAAGTGGGAAATAGCCTCCCACGGAAGGCACAGGGACAGGTTACAGAGGCGCAGAGTGTATGCTTGCCCTTGGAGGAGAGCAGAAGTGCTGACAGATTGAATGCAGAAATCATGCATATGCTAGTTCAAGTGAAATAGTCAGGAGTAACTCAGATTTGATATGTTGAGGGCCTAGATTTAAGAGGTGGTGTAGAGGGACCTGCAGATGGTATAGCAGTTATGTCACTGGACTCCCACATAGTCAACTGCGGTTCAAGTCCTGGACCTGGTGGCTTGAAACTCACACTAGGTGTTTGTGTGTGCACACCCAAAATCTCAAGAGGAGAATGGAGGAGAAAAGATTGTGGCAGGGCCATCCCCTCTGGGAAAAGATTTTTCACTTTCTGTCTGTCTGTCTCTGTCTCTCTGGCAAGCACACGTGCCCTATAGCAAAAAACTCTCTCCACCCCCCCCCAAAAAAAAAAAATAAGAGGCAGTGTAGAGACTACAAAAGGTAGGTTTTGAGAATAAAAAATAAATTTAAAAAAAGAAACTGGGTCATGGTAAGTGAATATGCATTATGGATATAACTCCAGTCCTTTTACATTTTTAATGAATCTCATTAGATATATTTTTGCACTACAAAGAAAATCCCAGAGCCATTTAGCTTATAGTTATTTTTAGTAATATCTATGTATTATAATAAATGCTATATGCAAACATGCAATCATGCTCTTTAAACCACAACACTATTGACATTTTGTATCAAATAATTCACTGATGTGGGGCTACCCTGTGCATTGTGGGATGTTAGCAGCCTCCCTGACCTCTACCCGCTAGATACCAGTAGCACTTCCCAAATGTGACAACCAGAAATGTCTCTGGACATTGCTGAATGTCTCCTTGGGGAAGAAGAGCAAAACTGCCCCCATTTCTGAACTACTGATTTAAAACTAAACAGTCCTATAAATTATACAGTTTCATCATTACAAATGTTTACTATTATATTACAAACACATTACCATTCCACTCTAGAAAGTGACACTTCTGTTAAGGAAAACACATCTTATGCTAAATGCGAATATTATTTTTTAAAGGCAATTTTTGGCCTAGAAGGAACAAATCTTTAAATATACTTACATTGAGTTCTAGAACTATTCCGAGACAATCAATCAGCAAGGACACAAGTGTGGCCACAGTAATGATCACCAGTGTTACAACAATGTGGAAAACTGATGAAAGATTCCCACTGGAGAACACATTGGCAACTACCTGCCAAAATACAAATCACTTTGAAAGGGACTCTCAGAGCATACCAAAGTTATTGAGAGAGTACTTCCTAATGACACTTAGATCTGTATAAAATGCTGCCAATAAAGCAATTCGTCAAATCTCAAGTAATTATAAATGCTCTACCTTTTGTAAAATACTTACACGTAGATGTACATATCAATAGCAAGTTCTTAGTGGATTACATTACAGACTCAGAATGTGCAACATCCGTGATGGAATACATGCATTTTCAATTATAAGACAGCTATTAGGAAATTACCTAATTCTTCTTCGTTTAGTATGACAAGGTTACCAATCAAACAAAGTACAGGTATTCTTGAGATTATTCCTGTAATAGCCTCTAAGGAAGTAGTTAACACATTTCTCTTAATAATACTGGAAGTGCAATGTCTTCTACTGATAGAAAAATCTATAAACCAAATCTTTTTGTTGTAATTGAAGTCCATTTCATTTTACCTTTCCTCAATGAAAACAGAGAAGAATTCATCACCACTTTTCATCAATATTCAGATCACGAAATCAATCGTCTGTTTAATGTAGCCTATGCTGTGATCTTATTTGCAAAGAGATAATGTCTAGAAGTAATTCCTGTTTTCAAGAGTGGGGACGACTTCCCTGGAGATATGCAACTAGTCTAAGGAAACAAATAGAGATTAGTTTGTGACAGAATGAAAAAGATAAACTGGAATTTAGAACAAAAAGTAGCTAAGTCTGTCCCAGGCTGACCTCCTTTACAGCATTTCTGAAATATGCTTGACCTACCATGGCTTGAAGTGGGCCTTAAAACACTGATAGAATTTGGAGGAGAATTAGAGGCTGAGGCAACAGTATGAAGAAGATCAAGGAGGTAAAAACAGAAACGATGCCAACGGAGAATGAGAAGGAAACAGTTTGAATACAGTGGTGACCTGTGCAAAAGAAAAGTGAGACAAGAGTTGCAAATGACAGTAGGGGGTTGGGTGCTAGGGAATCAGCTCTCCCAGCTTTGCTCTCCAGAGAGGTGACATACTCCATAGGCTGGATGCTACCATGACTCTGCCTGTAATTTAGTGGTGATACTAATAACGTCTTTTCAAATATCTTATTTAAAATGTAATCTTACAGATGCCTCCAAACTATGACTATGAGAGGGGAAAAATCAGTGAGACAGGCTAGTGGTGGATACTTAAGAGGGGTAGAAACCCTTTTTTTTGGAGAGGTTTTCACTATAGGGCACGTGCGCTCGCCAGACAGACAGAGAGAGACATAGAGACAGAAAGTGAGAAATCACCCCCCAGGGGGGATGGTCACACCACAATCCCTTCTCCTCCATTCTCCCTCCTCTCGGGATCTTGGGCACACACGCACATGTGCCCAGCGTGAGTTTTAAGCCACCGGGTTCGGGACGTGAACCGTGGTCAACTACGATGGAGTCCAGCGACATAGCCATTACGCTAACTGCAGGTTCCCAAGAGGGGTAGAAACCTTTTTTGACATCCTTACATGGGCTGCCTACTTTACCTATGAATAGAAATACTTCTGATTGGGACCAGCAGTTGATGTAATGGCTATGTTGCTAGACTCCCATGTATTCGACTGCAGTTTGAGTCCTGGACCTGGTGGCTTAAATTCACACCGGGCACGTATGTATGCGTGCTCAGGATCCTGAGAGGAGAATGGAGGAGAAGGGATTGCGGCGTGACCATCCCCCCTGGGGGGTGATTTCTCACTTTCTGTCTCTCTGTCTCTCTCTGTCTGTCTGGCGAGCATACGCACCCTATAACAAACAAACAAAAAAAGCTCTCGAAATAAATAATAAATACTTTTGATTATGTTTATATCAACTGTATGTTTGTGTAGAAAGAAGAGATTGAGAAAGGAAATGAATGGGAAAAGTATATGTGACATTCTTTTACCTTCTACCACAGTAGAGATCTTGATTTAGTTCTGTCTTCCTGTGGTGGCAGCTAGGGAGGAAGCTCAAGTTCCAAGTACTAAAGACAAAAGTAGTGCAGGTACCATGACTCAGGCCACCTCCGGCTGTTTACCAGAAACCACATGAGAATGTACCACCTGTTCTTGCTGATCTCGAGATCAGATTTGAATATAAAGTACTAGGCAAAAGCTAAAGAAATATCATTTCCTGCCTCTGAAGTAGTTAGCAAATTTTCGAAAGGCTTAAATTTTTTTTTAAAACAGTAATCTTAGTTAGGTCTAATTCTCTCTCACAGTGAAGATAGAGTATTAGCCTGTGAGTTACACGGTGCTGAATGAGCAGAGGTGCTAATTGTAAAGGAAACACAGTGCTAAATATTTTCCTCTTCCATTTTCCTGTGCAGCCCCTTATCCTCAGTCCTGGCATAAGGTAAGCACTGGCCTGCCTTGAGAAGCTAGAGATTACTTAGTATGTTTAAAGCTCCAGAGACGTTTCACTCTACACATTAGACCTATTCACAAGGTGCCCTGTGTAAACAGCCTCTAGGAATAGGACCTAAGACTAAGCCCTTTTCAGAGTGATTCCTGAAAGAACCACTGTGAAGCAGGATCATGTTTTGCTGCTAACTGGTTCAGTGGATTTTCAGCGGACAGCATAAGGGATTCTTGACAAGCCATGTTCACCACAATCCCTTCTCCTCCATTCTCCCTCCTCTCGGGATCTTGGGCACACACGCACATGTGCCCAGCGTGAGTTTTAAGCCACCGGGTTCGGGACGTGAACCGTGGTCAACTACGATGGAGTCCAGCGACATAGCCATTACGCTAACTGCAGGTTCCCAAGAGGGGTAGAAACCTTTTTTGACATCCTTACATGGGCTGCCTACTTTACCTATGAATAGAAATACTTCTGATTGGGACCAGCAGTTGATGTAATGGCTATGTTGCTAGACTCCCATGTATTCGACTGCAGTTTGAGTCCTGGACCTGGTGGCTTAAATTCACACCGGGCACGTATGTATGCGTGCTCAGGATCCTGAGAGGAGAATGGAGGAGAAGGGATTGCGGCGTGACCATCCCCCCTGGGGGGTGATTTCTCACTTTCTGTCTCTCTGTCTCTCTCTGTCTGTCTGGCGAGCATACGCACCCTATAACAAACAAACAAAAAAAGCTCTCGAAATAAATAATAAATACTTTTGATTATGTTTATATCAACTGTATGTTTGTGTAGAAAGAAGAGATTGAGAAAGGAAATGAATGGGAAAAGTATATGTGACATTCTTTTACCTTCTACCACAGTAGAGATCTTGATTTAGTTCTGTCTTCCTGTGGTGGCAGCTAGGGAGGAAGCTCAAGTTCCAAGTACTAAAGACAAAAGTAGTGCAGGTACCATGACTCAGGCCACCTCCGGCTGTTTACCAGAAACCACATGAGAATGTACCACCTGTTCTTGCTGATCTCGAGATCAGATTTGAATATAAAGTACTAGGCAAAAGCTAAAGAAATATCATTTCCTGCCTCTGAAGTAGTTAGCAAATTTTCGAAAGGCTTAAATTTTTTTTTAAAACAGTAATCTTAGTTAGGTCTAATTCTCTCTCACAGTGAAGATAGAGTATTAGCCTGTGAGTTACACGGTGCTGAATGAGCAGAGGTGCTAATTGTAAAGGAAACACAGTGCTAAATATTTTCCTCTTCCATTTTCCTGTGCAGCCCCTTATCCTCAGTCCTGGCATAAGGTAAGCACTGGCCTGCCTTGAGAAGCTAGAGATTACTTAGTATGTTTAAAGCTCCAGAGACGTTTCACTCTACACATTAGACCTATTCACAAGGTGCCCTGTGTAAACAGCCTCTAGGAATAGGACCTAAGACTAAGCCCTTTTCAGAGTGATTCCTGAAAGAACCACTGTGAAGCAGGATCATGTTTTGCTGCTAACTGGTTCAGTGGATTTTCAGCGGACAGCATAAGGGATTCTTGACAAGCCATGTTATCCAATTTTACACCAAAAGAATTAATTCCCTTTCAGCTAATCTTTCCCCATAAACCCAGGTGAACTATATACCATTCTTTGGAGCTTACTTTATAAATGAAGTACATGCACAGAAATCACAAAGTCTATCTCTATATTACTACTTATATTATTTTTGTGACATAAATTTGTAAAAAACTGATATAAATATGTACATAAAATACATTTGCAAAACTAAAGGATTACATTGAATTTTGGTTCTTTATGGAATATAAGATAAAGTTTCTTTAAACAATAACAGAATTAATTAGAATCTGATCAATGGTGTCTCTAATGCATGTTGACTTATAGAATATCTTAGGTAAAAGACAATTTTTTGTAAAACATATTTTGGACCTTGTTACTTAATTTCTCTGTAAGAATGTTTTTAAGAAAACATCAACCTTAGTTTGGCTACATGAAAAGCTTGTATTTATTTGAAAAAAAGTTGTAAACTATTTGTGCTTATGATAATATAAACCAAAGCACCAAAGATAGTATTCAAATTCAACTTTTGAAAAAATTATGTTATGGGAACCAGCAGTTAGCGTAATGGCTATGTCGCTGGACTCCCACGTAGTCGACCGCGGTTTGTGTCCCGGACCCGGTGGCTTAAAACTCACGCCGGGCGCGTGTGCGTGCATGCCCAAGATCCCAAGAGAAGAATGGAGGAGAAGGGATTGCGGCGTGACCATCCCCCCTGGGGGGTGATTTCTCGCTTTCTGTCTCTATGTCTCTCTCTGTCTGTCTGACGAGCGCACGCGCCCTACAGTGAAAATCTCTCCAAAAAAAAAAATTATGCTATGAGCATCTGAATATATATTAATATTTAAACATATATATTAATATTTAAACTCTGATGTTTTATAGTAGAACAAGAAAATGTTATATATTATATTGCTTGTTATGTGCCTAGAAATTTTTAGATCAAATTCTTTTTACATCTTTCTAAATTAAATGTAGTAGAGAGATGACCTGGCTAAAGTGTTAGAAAGGAATTATGCTCAGGCCAGCTGGCGGTGTGGTGGTTGGGATGGGTGAGTCCCACATGGCCAACTGCATGGTTTGAGTCCCAAACCTGGAAGCCTGGGAAACATTCTGGTCATATGTGCATGAATGCACAGAATTCCAAAGAGAGGGAGGAATAGAGGAAAAGGGATTGCGCCATGACCATCCTCTATGGAAGGTGCTCTCTCATTCTTTCTCTCACTCTTTGGAAAGTGTGTGCACCTTCTGGACTTTTTTTTTAAGAAAGGAGTTAGTGCTTACCTCTCTAGTCACAAAACATTCTAGTGGGTAGGTCAAAATGACAGTGACACCGTAACAAAATCTTCCGAATGTTACCAGGTCATCACTTCTGCAATAATTTTCAAATAAGTCTCCTAGAGAATTATAGAAAAATAAATGTATTTATTAGAGACTGGTAATTGGTTGTAACTATCTAATAAATGAGATATTACATATTTATTATGTTCTTAAAGCTGAGTAAGTTTCACTTAATTAATGGAATATTGGGCTGTTGGAAAAGTCATGACATATTTTTCTTTCTTTTTCTATGCAAAAATGAGTCATGACTTTTCCAATGACTCAATAGAATATAAGAGTAAAATACAAGTTTTTGCATTCAAGAACTACATAGTGGTTCACTAATAGTAAAACATGTATAGGTTTTACTTGAAGATAAATGAGTCCCAGCACTTTTTCTCTTATTGTCATTTTTGGTTGGTTCTCCTCAAATTGTATCAACTTCTGAAATGAATTTTATCCATCGTCTTCTAACATCCAAAAAACTCCCTAAATCCTTATGTATTGGCTTTGTAAATTTGCTTCTAGTCTTTGTTTCTGGTAAGTAGGTGACTTCATTATTTAAAAAAAAAAAAAAAAGCCTGTTTAAATAAACAAATTTCCTTTTGAAATGCTATTCTTAGATCAAGGACAATCCTGAAAGGAAGAGTAGTCCAGAACATCTGGGGAGCTGAGCTTCCTGCACATCGTGCTATAGGGTTTAATCACAAACTGGGGCCACAGCAAGGAATTCAAGCACACACCGTCTTTCATGACCTCTGATGAGCCCAAGTGTAAGTGCTCTGATTCAAAACTGAAAACATGTTTATTTCCCAGAAAGGGCATTGGATTTAATTAGTTCCAAAATAATTATGGACAATTTATACCGAGAACCACTTATATAGAGACTGCAAATTCATGAATATCTGGGAAGAAATATGGGGATTTAATGACACAGAAATCACATGGGCAAGAAACATTTACCCATGCTGAGGCAGAGTATGTGAACCTGTTTATTTCCTGAATATAACATGATTTAAAATTGTGGTCACCTTTTTTCAATTAAACTGAATATAAAATTAGAGCAAAGTCATACACTGCTACACTATTATTTAAAGAAGAAGACAATATCCTTGTCCTTTTCTTCATCAAAAAGCCAAATACTGGGTAAGTAGGTGGAGTGGTACTTAAGGCATTGGACTCTCACATAGTTGACCATGGTTCAAGTCCCAGGCCTGGTGGCTTGCTTTCTCTCCCTCTTTTTCTTTCTCTCTCTCTCTGATGAGTGCACATGCTCTATAACAAATTAAAAAATAGTAATAATAAAAAATAAAATAAAATAAATAATTTCAAAAATCAGAAAAGAAAAGCCAAATACCTTCAATGACCTGCTTCTTCCCAAGACTTAACTTTTAGCGGCGCTTCTCCCCACTTCATCAACTAGAATATAGACACATTATTCTCTAATGTTCCTTTTGTGTTGAAGAAGATTAAGGCACAAGGTAGCAGGGGTAGAGACTTGCTTTGAGGTTGATTAAAAAGGTTCTAGTACTGGGAGCCAGCAGATGGTGTAGTGGTTACGTCACTGGACTCTCACTTGGCCAACCACGGTTTGAGTCCTGGACCTGGTGACTTGACACTCATGCCAGGCACTTGTGCATGCATGTCTAAGATCCTAGGAGGAGGGACCAGCAGTTAGTGTAATGGCTATAGCGCTGTACTCCCATGTAGTCGACTGCAGTTGGAGTCGGCTTAAACTCACGGCGAGTGCGTGTGTATGCATGCCCAAGATCCCAAGAAGAGAATGGAGCAGAAGGGATTGCGGTGTGGCCATCCCCCCTGGGGGGTGATTTCTCACTTTCTGTCTCTCTGTCTCTCTCTGTCTGTCTGGCGAGTGCATGCACCCTATAGCAAAAACCTCTCAAAAAAAAAAAATCCTATGAGGAGAAGAGATTGTGGCACAGCCATCCTCCCTGGGCCATGATCTCACACTTTCCCTTTCACTGTCTCTGTCTCTCTCTGGCAAGCACACACACCCTATTGCAAAAATCTCTCTCTAAAAAAAAAAAGAAAATTCTAGCACTGAGAAAAAGGACTGAAGTTCTGTGTTTATTAACTATCACTAATAAATGGTCCTTGCATCTTTCTAGAAGACACAGGCAATGTCAAGAATCTAGAATACCTACTACTTCACCCGCTGCAAGTTATGTACTACAAGTGGGAAGAAAGAAAAGAGGCATGCAGTTTGTGCAAACAAGACCAGATTTGCATAAAGAAGAATGGCCTGGTAAACAATGCCAGCTTTAATCCATGTGTATTTGAGGGAGTTAAAGCTAGGAGAAAAACAATGACATCAAACACCTGTCAGGTTTCTTATTAAAGGTTTTAATTATATTTGAACAATTACCACTGATAAAAACACCCGAAAGGTATGACTAACACACAAAAAAGCTTTATGTCTTATAGAAAAGGCATCTAGAAACAAAGGTCCTGTACAGACTGAACCGAATAGTCTGTGTGGGCACATTGTGACACAACAGTGACCCTGGGCAATGTTTTGAAACCCAGCTCTTATCAAGCCTTTCGAGGTCATTTTGTTATGGCACTCTGATGGCATACGTATGTAGTTTTGACGGCACTAGAATTACATTGATCATTATTTTTGAAGCCCTTTTTTTTTTTTTCATTTCCTAAGAAATGTCTACATACAATCATAGTGACTTAGAGCTTCTATTCAAAACAAGGCAGCCATCCTCCTGAGAGCACCTTAGTGTCATCAGAAAATTAACTTAAGAGAAGCTGAACTCTAAGAGCATTTTAGTGGTCATAGTTGATCAAACTGAGGGAAGCAGAAAAAGAGAGGAAAGAAAACTGGATTTGGTAGTCTGATGCTCTGTTTTCTAGTTTGTCACCAGCCAGCTTGGGCAAGTTACTTCACCTCTTTGTATTTTAAGCAAGGGATAAAACTAGTTCTTCCACTTACCTTCAAAGGGTTGCATGGAGGTCAGATGAGATAATAGACCTGCAAAAGCTGTGAAATACAGGAATCACAGCATTCAGCCTGCTTTCTGAGGACCCTGAATGATACACTGCACAGATTATTGATTGAGCAAGGGCTAAGGGAAGTAGAAGAGAGGACGACTCCATTGTTAGGCTTATGTGAAGGGCCTGCGTGAATATAGGAAAAAGAGAACTAACTTTGGAGGGAAGAAAAGAAAGGGTTGGTTCTGTGACTAAGGCAAGAATGGGATGACTAAGTAGAAATGGCCTACAGGCAACAGGTTGGAGATTTAGGAGAAAAAAAAAAAAAAAAGCAAGGTTAGAATTAATGAAAATGTCCAGAAAATTTGCTAAGAGCATGACAGGCATCTTGCTTGAGCCAGTTATGTGCAGTGGTGGTGGGGGCAGTAGTGCTGTGGTGGAGGGACGTTAGAGTGGGAGGTTAGAGATTGCAAAGAAAGAGAAAAGAAAGAAAAATATATTGAGAGAGAAAACAATAATAACAGCATAGAATTGCTCTTCCTTCTAAGGGAAGAGGAAAGTTTGAGCAAAGAAAGGATGCTCAGTACTGTTAAGTGACTCAGAGGGATTCGTGAGAATCAGAACCAAGAAGGTCAGTAGCTGTGAAGACTGGGAGGTCAGCAGTACTTTTGAAAGTGATGTTGCAGTAAAATGGTAAAGAGGAATCCATGTGCTTGGAAATAAAAGCATGGAAGGAGAGAGCGTGAACTACAGAACTAAGCTGAGCAGTCAGTTTAAGAAGGAAAACATGGGGACAGGCAGACAGTGGTGACACTCTGTGAAGAGGTCCCACATGGGAAGGTTCCCATTTCAAGTCTGGAGACATCCCTGAGAACACTGGTGCTAGTGAAGGCTGGGAGTAGATTGTGGAATTGAATGTAACCCATTGAGTGTGTTGAGTGTTGTCTCTTTCACTCATGGCCAATAAATAAATGAATAAGCCTTTTTTTAGGTTTGTTTTTCAAGGAGGGATATAAGTAGGAAACAGAGAGAGCAGAGAGGCAGTAGGGCTGAGGATAAAAAGAGTTGTTTTTTTTTTTTTTTTTTTTTTAAGTGATGTTTTGAAGTAGAACGCTGAGCATACCATACAAAAATTAGAAGAATATTGATTACTTGTACCCATTCACATGGACACCAAAATATGACTAAGTCTCTCATTTTACCTTGGGTGAAGCCAGTAAATGTCAAGTATCCACACGTAGCAAAGAGTATAGAGATAAATATAGAAACTAAGATGGACACATGGATGATGCGAGACCACTTGGCTACTGTGGGTTCTTCCAAAGAACCATAAACTAAGAAGCAGTTATGATGGCAAATGAATGCTGCAATAAAAATGAACAAACAAAAAAAACACCATTATTGAGGCAAACACTAAGGGTTTTCTTATTTTGCTCTAAAAATTTAAAAATGTATGCTATTTTAGAATGTTCATCAACTGAAATTCAAATATATTAATTTACTAGATATGTCATAAAATTATTTTTTAATTGCTCTAGGAAAGAGAACATTTATTCACATCAGGCTTATGTGGTCTCTTCATGCCACTCTTTTTATTTTTATTTTATTTTTTGAGAGATTTTTGCTATAGGGCATGTACACTCACTGGAGAGACAGAGAGACAGAAAGTGAGAAATCATCCCACGGGACGATGGCCATGCTGCAATCCCTTTTCTTCTATTCTCCTCTCAGGATTTTGGGCATGCATGCACACGTGCTTGGCATAAATTTTAAGCCTCTAGGTCTGGGACTCAAACTGAGGTTGACTACATGGGAGTCCAGCAATGTAACCTTTACAATATGTGTTGGTCTCTTCATGTCACTCTTGATATTAACCAGGCCAATACAACCTTCCTCCATTTTCTTCTTAATGTTCCTTCCTACCTTAAGAATAATGTAAGCAGCACCATGATTTTTAGCTCATGGCACCCTTTGCCATCTGGTATATAATAGAGTAGCTTTAGACACCCAGCCAATTCATAATATTTTGTGTGTAAGTTTTTGAAGTCCCTAACACTTGCTAGACTTCCAAGTTAAGAAATAAGATGACTGTAAGGAGTTTTCTGCATGAGAAATCAATTCTCTAAACTGAAGTAAATTTTAGTCATGAGTGACAAAAGTTTGAGCCTCATTTTATATTGGCACAAACTATATCATCTGCTGTTAATAGGACTTGTAAAACTTAGGACATCTGCTCTCCAGACATAAATATGCAACACAACACTTTTCCATGGCACAGATGACCCCATATTGAGAAAGGGGCTTGAAACCATGTACTCACCAAAAGACATAACCCCAACAGCCTGAATGGCATTAGATTTTGCAAATACCCAGGCATCTTCTGTTTTAGGGCTAGAAAAGAAATCAGCGAAATTGATGAATTATTAAACAAATGCAAGCATACATGTACCAGAAAACAAAACTGGTGTTACAAGTATAAATTGACCATCTTTAAGCTGGAAATGAATAAAAGGCCACATTAATCTTATTGAATCTTAAGTAAATTGTCCAGGAACACAGATGCTACCTCTTAATCCTAGTTATCTGAAATACACATCGAATACTAGGACAGATTCCAATTTTGCATATATAAAACATTCACTGACTATTTAAGTATTGACTTTATTGATTTGCTTGTTAATTTAACAACAAACATGTATGTGCTCACCAGTTGACATATTCACTGAGGGAGACACAAAATTCACTGCCTTTTGGTTCCCTCTTATTTTTCCAGTTTCAATCTTCCCAATGGAAATTTGGTTGGCACTACAGTTTATTGAGAGAGGTGAACATGAACTAATACCAATCGAGGATGTACTGACTATATTCTGGGAATGCACTGTGTTTCTCTCATTTAATTTCTTACAAGATTTAAATATTGTCTCATCACTTAACACAAGAGGGAAGTCAAGCTTTGGGTAGTGATGTAACTGTCAAGCTTCCACAGATAATAACCGAAGAAGCTGAGATTACCTTCTTGGTCTGTTCATTCCAGTATCTCTTCCATGTTGAACTGCCTGTCAGAGGCCTCAAATTCCCATTTGTGGTACATTTCTCAAGAGTTTTGGAAATGTATACACTTGAAGTAGTGAGAAGAAGACAATAGCCTAGTGAAATTAGAATATTCTATATTGGCAGAGATTGGTCTACCTGCCTTTTTTTTTTTTTTTTTTTTTTGGGAGATTTTTGCTTTAGGGTACATGCACTTGCTGGGGGGCAAAGTGACAGAAAGAGACAGAGAGACAAAAAGTGAGAAATCACTCTCCCCCCCACCCCGAGCAGATGGCCACACCACAGTCCCTTCTCCTCCATTCTCTTCTTGAGATTTTGGGTACACATGCACACATGCTCGGTATGTTTTAAGCTGCTGGATTTGGTACTTGAACACTGATCGACTGTGGGAGTCCAGCGATGTAACCATTATGCCAATTGCTGATCTCAGGTCTACCTGGTTTAATGCACCCCTGAGTAACAATGAATAGCAAAGATCTAAGGTCAGACAGCCTATGCTGTTCCTCTTGCCTCTTCTACTTATTAGCTGTGTGATCTTAGAAAAGTTACTTGACTTTTCTGTGCTTCAGTGTTTACATCCATTCAATGGGAATAATGGAAGTACATAATTCATTGAGTTGTGTAGATTAAGTCAGATAAATACGTAACAGTTCTGTAAGAGAAATGATCATACAGTATGTGTTCAATAAATGGTTGTCAGTTTATCATCATTATGTATTCATATTGTTATTATTATGCACTATTATTTAATCAAAGGTAGCAAAAAGTCTAACAGTATGATTAATGTCCCTGGAAAAGGAAGTCTTGAGTGAGGCCCATGACGATGCATGAAGATGAGGCTGGCTCAGTGGTGCAGTGGTAATGTGCTGATCAGAAGCTGGATTCCACATGGTGACCACTGTTTCAATCCCTGACCGGGTCTGCCTAAAACATGCTAGAAAGATCATGAATGCCCGAGATCTAACGGCTGGAAGACTGGAGGAAGGGGACTGCCATGTGACCCCCATGGAGGGTGCTCCTCTCTGTCTCTCTTGCATGTGTGTGCACGTATACACTCTATCATGAATAAATAAAAAACTGGAAAAAAACAGTGACTACTCAAAAGGAGGAAGGATCACACACACACACACACACACACATAGACACACACAAATATGCCTGAAGTTAGAAAAAGGAGAAGGAGACAGGGCAAAGGTCCTAGAAAGCATGAAGGTGCTGGATATTTTAAATTAAAAAAAAAAAAATAAGAGGAAATATAAAGGATAAAATTAATCTATTTCATAAGTTTATTATTCATTCTCTATGTAGAGACGACACACCAACGAAATAGTCCTATTTATTTTGTCCAGGTTTGTAGGATTTACGTGTTCTATCATCTTTCTTTCCATAGATAAGATGAGCGGTTATAGACACAAAGGAGCTTTCCAAGGGGAGCCTCTGATGGTTAGGCCTGCTCAATTGACTTGTTTGAGTGGGAGCTGCTGCCACCTGCTGTCTCCACCACTCTTATTGCAGGCAGCATTAAAAAAAAAGTGTTCATGTGAAAGACATAATTTGTTCCTCATCCCTAGAAAATGATTTAGCTCAGGCAGCATGAACAGCTGTAGAAACAAAGGTTATCCAACTTCCTCATATGCTTAAATGAGCGCTCTCCCTGTTAGGGTTTTGTATGTGAAAAATGTTTTTTCTCTTTCATTACAAATTGTGGTGATGGCTCACTTTTAAAATCTTGTATTAGTAAGTGAAAAGGTAGGAGTTGACTGTCATTTTCCCCCTTCCATTTAAGTCTCCCTGAACTCCACCCCTTGCCCTGACCCACTTGGTCCCTTGAGCACATTCCTGGAGCATAAACAATACCTAAAGCTCCTTTTAAATGTTTTCCATTCATCTTAGGGATGGCAATTTTATAAGAAGGAAAATACCCAAAAAAGATGTTATAGACAGGGAAATACATGTGTTCAAATCTAGAGAAA